TGACAGCCACACAGGGAAAACATATAAAACATGTAAGAGAAGTATACTAAATCAAGGTACACTTTATGATATATTGGCCAGGGCTGGGGATGTAGGACAGTAGCGCCATGCCAACCCAGCAAGCACAAAATACTGAGTTTGATCCAGGTATAAAAAAAAAAAAAAAATTGGCTATGCTGGATTACAATAGCTTTTTTTTTTCTTGCCCCTCTCCCCTCTCTCCTCCCCCACCCTCTCTCTCACCCTCCTTCCCTCCGTCTCTCCCTCTCCTTTTTTTCCCTATTGTCTGGCTTTTATTTTGCACTTTATTTATCTTTTGGATCTCTCATATAAAAGAAACTATGTGATATTTAAGCTTCTGTGTCATTTATTTCACTTAACATTATGGTCTCAAGCTGGGCGTGGTGGCGCATGCCTGTAATTGCAGCACTTGGGAGGCCAGTGCAGGAAGATTGCTACAAGTCTAAAGCCAGCCTGGGCTCCATAGTGAGTTCAAGGTCAGCCTGAACTACATAGTGAGACTTTGTCACAACAAAACAAACCAAAAAACATTATGATCTGAAGGTGTACCCATTTTCCCACAAATAACTTAAGTTTATCCTTCTTTTAGCACAATAGTACTCCATTGTATATTAATATCACATTTTCTTTGTCCATTCATCTGTTGATGGACATATAGGTTGCTTCCAAGATTTAGCTATTATGAACTGTGCTGCTGTAAACATGGGTATGCATGTATCACTGTAATATGATGTCTTTAACTGTTTCAGGAAGCTATCAAGAAGAGGAATAGCTGGGTCAAATGGAATTTCTATTTTAAATTTTTTGAAGAATCTTCATAATGATTTCCACAGTGCTTATACCAGTTTTATAATCCCACCAACAATAAAGAAGGGTTCAGGCTGGGGATTTAGCTCAGTGGTTCCAGTGCCTGCCTCACAAACACAAGGTCCCGAGTTCGATCCCCGGTACCAAAAAAGTAAAGAAGGGTTCTTTTTTCTCCCAGTATTTGGCCTCTCCAGTATTTGCTATTGTTTGATTTCTTTTTTTTGGTGCCAAGGGTCGAACTCGGGTCCTTGTGCTTGCAAGGCAGGTGCCAGAACCACTGAACTACATCTCTGGCCCTACTGATTGATTTCTTTTTTTTTTGGTACCGGGGATTGAACTCCGGACCTTGCACTTACTTCCAAGGCAAGTAGCAGCACCACTGAGCTAAATCCCTGGCCCCCTTGATTTCTTTTTGTTTGTTTGTTTTTTGGTACCGGAGATCGAACTCGGAACCTAGCGCTTGCTAGGCAGGCGCCTGAACCACTGAGCTAAATCTCCGGCCCTGATTTCTTGATGATAGCCATTCTTTTGGATTGAGATAGAATCTCTATGTTTTAATTTGCATTTCTCTAATAGCTAGCAATGTAGAATAATTTTTCATGTATTTATTGGCCATTTGTACTTCACCTGTGAAGTATCTATTCATTTCAGATGCCTGTTTTTTTTTTTTTAACCAGGTCTTTAAATTGGGGAGAGGTCACTTTTTTTTTAGTTCTTTATATACTCTAGATATTAGTTCTTTGAGGAATATCTGGCAATTTTTTTTCCCATTTGTAGGTTGTCTCTTCACTCTATTGGTGGTTTGTTTTGCAGTGCAAAAGCTCTTTGATGTGATCCCATTTATTGATTCTTGGTATTATTTCTTGTGCAACGGAGGTTATGTTAAAAAAGCCTTTGCCTACGCCTATGTGTTCAAGGGTTTTACCTATTTTGTCTTCCAGCATATTGTTCATGTTTTGATATGCTCATGACTGGGCTATAATTTGTATGTCTTGCTGCCAGGCAGCTTGAACCACTGGTGGCACATGGGTGACTGCCCCATCAGGCAACTTTTTATTAATTTTATGAGTAAAAAAAATTGATAAAAATGATTAGAGCTGTTGTATCACCCGTGGTACAAGCTACCTAATGGGACAGTCATGCATGTACCACCAGTGGTTCAAGCAGCTGGGAACACATTAATATTTAGATCTTTAATTCATTTTGATTTTTGTTTAGTGCATAGTAGAGATACGGGTCTAGGTTCAATCTACAGCATGTGGATAGCCAGTTTTTTCAGCACCATTTATTAAAGAAGCCATTTTTCGACTGTCCCTTTGTTAAAAAATAAGGTAGCTGAGTGTACCTCGAATTCTTTCTGCATCCTCTATTCTGTTCCACTGATCCACAAATCTGGTTTGTTTGGGTTTTTTCGTACAGGGGATCGAATTTGGAACCCTGCGCTTTCAAAGCAGGCGGCAGTAGTACTGAGCTAAATCCCCGGCTCCCACAAATCTGTTTTGTTGCCAATATGATGTTTTTATTAATCACTGTAGTTCTGCAGTATAACTTGAGGTCTGGGATTGTGAACTCCCCTGCCTTGTCCATGTTGAAAATTGCTTTTGCTGTTCTAGGTTTTTTCTGTCCATATGAATTTTAGGACTGCTTTCTCTAGTTCTGTGGGGAATGCTATTTTTTTTCCCATTAAGTTTATTGGTACATTTTAGGTAAAAATACAGTTAAATTCCTCATTGGGATCTTGTACCATTGCATGAGTATCTCTGTTCTTATTTTTATTTCCCCTTCCCCTGCCTTCCCGTCAACCCCTCCACCCTTCCCTATTTACAAAGACTTTGTTTCCATTTTTTTCCTTTTCTCATATTTTTTCTTTTCCCTTCTTTCCTTTCCCCTACCCCTCCCAAT